AGGTTTTTTTTTTTTTTTTTCAGAAATCTGAAGAACGACACAGGAGACGTTCAGAGAGACTCAGCATCACGCTGGGCAGCAGGAAGTGAAAGCTAACAGGTCAGAGGTCATTACCAGCTGAATGTAGAACTGCCGGATCATTTCCACCTGCAGGTTGATGATGTCCTGGTGGCAGGCGGTCCTACGGACAGGAGAAGCAACCCGTTAAAGATTGAGATCAACATTCAGGCAGATCTGGTCCATCGTCATCATCATCATCATCCTCCTCACCTGAACTCGTCCAGCGTCTCGTGGATCATGTTCTGGATGAAGTGGATCTGCAGGGAGGTGAGCGGAGCGGCGCCGTCTTGTCCAACCATATCTGCGATGTTCTGGGACAGCGAGGACGACACCGCCGCCAGCGCAGCAGAGCCTGAAGCTTCAAATGGAAACCAGGACATCAGATCTTTGTTTTTAGACCCAGAAGGAGGCTGTCGCCATGGAAACCTAGCCGTACCTGCTGCTGCGGTGGGCGGAGTTCTGCAGACAGGCGAGTCATAACTGAGCTGAGCCGGAACACCATTGGCTTTGCGGAGGCCCAGTTCCGGGGTGTAAAATGGCGCACCCGCCTGGCTCTGATTGGTCTCCTGGGAGGTGGTGGGCGGAGTCTGAGGCTCCACCTCCAGGCTGGAGCTGCTGTTCTTATCAGACTGGAGGAACACAGAATAACCAACGTCAAACAGAGCAGCAGCAAAGATCTGAGCAACTTCTCCTGAGGTCATCACCTTCCTGTCACATGGCTCCGCAGCGGACGCAGCCATTGGCTCCTCCTCCTTGATTGGCAGCGGGGACTGAAACACGGACAGCGGCGAGTAGCACCGTCCTGCAGTCGCCCCCAGCTGGGTCCCCAGAGGCGTCTTCCGTTGTTGGCCGCCACCTGAGTGGGAGTCTGACACACAGGCGTCATTCGTCTCCATGACAACAGAGAGGCGTTCCAGCCAAACAAACCCTCACCTTCTCTGACCGGAGAGAAGATGTCCAGGCTGGCGCGCCCCACCAGCGGCTGACCCTCCCCGTCTCTGGACAGCATCTCAGAACCCGTAACTATGGAAACACAAACCAGGGGTTAATCCACAGCCTGCTGATGGACGGCGGCTGTGAGGGGAGGAGAATTCCTGTGGTACCATGTGATCTTCCAAAGGGAGTGTCTCCACTCGTCGCCTGGGTCCTGGATTCTGGACCTGGACGGGGGGGGGATAGAATTTAACACATCTGTTTTCAGGTGGGAGGGGCTGAGGAAAACAGCATTAAACTGACCAACATTTCCCCAAAGCTGTTAGGATTAAAAAACATCACCGCCTTATTTCGGATGATTG